TGAAATAAATATCCGTAGAGATCATAATTGCCTATGAAATGCAATGATAATTATTGAATAGATTCCTTGAATTTCTAAATTAATATTAATTTTAATTGGTATTATTATTTATTTAAATCATTAATAAAAAATATATCGTATGAAATAAATGTTTTAACGATCAATGAATATCTATTAAGTAAATATCCTAGTCACGGTAAAATAAATTATAACAAGAAATTATCACAATATTCGAATATACTTTTGTATAAATTATCAAATTAATGTAATACGAAAAATTATCTACATTCCAATAAATTACTTATTCTTTATGAAACGAAAATCTGTACATTATGTAATGTATAAATTTTAGTTGTAAAATCAGGGTATAAATGTCGATTACTTACAAATTGAAATGCATCTTCAAATGACATCTGTAGAAATATTTATATTTCTATATATATATATATATATATATATATATATATATAGTTTAAATTTTTGTAGCAAACGTCTATATTTTTAGAGAATCAATATCAGTAATAATATATATATATATATATAAATGATAATCATGTTCTATAATAGAAGAACAATTTACTTATTAGTTATTACTAAATAGAACACATCACCTCATGTCGTTAAGAATATATAATTGTAAATATGTAAAATATACAAATAATGGAAAATGAATTTAAAACATACTGTATTGCGAGCATAGAAAATATTGTAACTTTCTCTTTATAATATATGAATGGATACTGTATATTGAATCCGCTTGAATAAAGTGCCAAATGCAAATATAATACTTATAGTTATTTAATAATTCAAAAAAAAAAAAAAAAAAAAAAAAAAAAAAAAAAATTTTTACTCCTTTAATACAATTAAGATTATTTTATGTAAGAAATATATTTAATTAACTTTTCGTTACAACCAGATTTAAAGTAATTACACTTTTTTTTTTTTTTAAATATTTAGCAAATGTTATTTGTTAATTTTCTTCAAATAAATACATTTACCCAATATGAGATATTTATTAAAAAGATAAGAGAATAATATTACATTAATACGAATGTAAGTTTTTATTCCATTTTTTTCTTTATCAATTAAATATTAAACTAATATTAAATATATTTTGTATAATAAAATTAGCAATTGTTTAATTTTTTTTTTTTTTTTTTTTTTTTTTTTTTTTTGTCATAATAATAACGATTGGTGATAGAGTCTGTAATTATTGTGGTTCTTAATATAATAATTTATAAAATACATTGAAATACAATTTTTTTTTCAGCATTCGTTGATTATTTATTCGTTTTTTAAATCATTATAAACCGATTGAATTTTTTCTTATATTTGTATCAATGAAGGTAAAGTGTTTGGTAAGTCAAGTTAAACTAATCCATTATTACGATTTTAAAATATATTGATTATCCATTGAAATTGTTTCATCCTAAAAAAATCGTAAATAATAACAGTAATAATGACGATAATAGTTTCGTTACATATATTGTGATACAAATATTAATTTTGTCATAAAACGATGCGTTCATATAGTTTTGACATTAATAGAACTTGTTAAATATGTTAAATATAATATAATTGTTGAAATGTGCATATGAATTACTAGATAACTTTTTAAAATTCTATTTACCTTTTAATTGGCCAGAACATTTTCTACGTTATAATTAGTTTAGTAATATAATTTGTTGTCTATATTATGAAAATGATTATAATTATATATATATATATATATATATATATATACACACACACATATATATTGCATTAATTGTCAGTTAAATGATAATTAAATCTTTGATGTAAAATTTTTGATAATTTAGTTATTATAGTAATAGTTATTCATAAAAATATTTGACTTTAATATTCCAAGATGTTTATATACGCTGAGAATCAATGAAGTAAATAAAATATAAATTACACTTGTAAACATTAAACTGATATTGCAACGAAGGACAAAATAATATCTTTAGTACTGTAATAGGAAGCAAGAGATTTTTTTTTCTTTCACGCATGCGCAGACTTTATTTTAATTGTGTATCTTGAATGTAAATCGACGGGGAGACAATGAGATTTGTATTGCTTGTGAAGTAGAGTGATATCAGTTAATAAACAATCTGGCTTTAATTTGAAAGGAATTAATTGAGAAAAGTATAAGAATTTAATGAATCATTATTTAGATAATTCAAATTTACCGATTTGTTGTATCGCCAAAAGACAGATGGGATAGTAAGTTACGCACGATCCAGGCAATTAACAATTTCATACGAGCAATTTTTAGTTTTTAATTTTTACGTGTATGCATTTATCATTTATCAAATAGCCTGGCTAAAAACGACATTAAAGCTGGTAATTACTGATATTCCATTACAATTGTCGTTCGTGCAGATGAGATCTGGGTCGAGCTGATTGTGAGTTACAAAGTGTTGAAAATATGAAAAAAATTTCATCATGTTCAAATATAAAAAGGTTAATTTAGGTGTCTCTCAGCATTATAAGAGTGGCGTCGCAAAAATTGAACATGATCGCTGCTCTAACACTTTGCTGTAAGTAAGAATATTTTTAAGCACAGATTATAAGTTTTTGAAAATTTGGAGTTCAGAGCTTTTGAGTGTGTCTAGTCTACTAGTCTAATAACGCTATTAAAATTTCCTATTTTTTTCTTTTTTTTTTTTTTTTTTTCTTTTATAGTGCACTTGAAAGCAATAGTAGTAAAACTTTTCAGTTATAAATTACTAGTACGTGTAAATGTAAATACTTTCATTGTAAATAATAAAAACTAATTATTAAACATTTATTCCACCCTCGGGGATTAATATCGTTTTATGTAATCTTTTGCTTGTTCTAAAGTTTTTTACGGTAATAAAGTGAATAAATAGAAAAATTGTATCGTGTATTTCACCTAAATTTATATTATTTGAAATTTACGAAGATTTGAATTTAAAGAAATTAGATAAAGAATTTCTTAAGAAAAAAGTGTATGTTACATACACGCGCACGCACGCACGCACGCACGCGCGCACGCACACGCACACACACACACACACACACACACACACACACATACAAAGATAAAATGCAAATGAATATTTTATAAACATACATAAAATGTTCACATTCTCTAACTAAAAAACACTAACAAGTATCGTGCGGGTTAATATTAATATTAATGTTGTTACATTTTACTGTTGAAAATACCTATCAATGGCGACATGTGCTATGGTATAATTGTAAAATTCACTTTAGGTGCACCAATTGCTCAACGATGGATCTTTGCTCTGATGGGCTTCTTGGCCCTTGTTATGGCTTATGGAATGCGTGTCAGTCTTTCAATTACCATAACAGAAATGGTGAAGCCCATAATAAGAAGTGACGCATCATCAGATGATTCTTGTCCCGTTTACGATACGGACGTTTCAATAAATAAATCGAGAAGCATTGGCGACACATACGAATGGGACGAATACACACAGGTAAATTAAAAATCAAAGTCTTGAAAATTTTATATAACGTGTGTGCATGTATGTGCGTGCGCGCGTTCACACGTGTTTCGGCATATATGTGAAATTTGAATTGTTTTTATTGCTTTGGTCGATTATGTAGATGGAAAAAGATGGCATTAGGATTACTAGGAATCTCGGCTTTGAATAATCATGAAGACAAAATACCGATTTGATTATTTTAAATCTATTATTTGATTGATCGTAAATGAAGGAGTAAACATTTCCATTATCTCAATGTGAAATAGGTATTATACTAGTTAAACACATAATAATGAATGTGTATTGTTACGCATAAAGGCGCCACCGACAATTTTTAATTAGCCATTCCTTATTGTTTGTCAATACTTTCATTGGATTAGTTTCTATATTTATTTAATTCTGTTTATCTTTTTTTTTTCTTTCTTTCTTTTTTCAGAAAAGATCTTGTATTCCGCGTTATTCTATGTAGTCAATGAACATTGTATGTTTCGGAGCGAATATTACTGCAATTTTACGAATCGTTGACAAATCCTGATAAACCGGGAATTATATTCGCAGTGCCAATAGTTTTGACAAACTTAATTCTACTATCTAAACTATTTATAATAATAATCGTATTATAAAAATTTTCTTAATCAAAGTCAAATCATTTCTTTTGGATGAATGCGAATCTTATGGGTTTTGGTAATTGGCCGACCATAAACGTCACGTGTATATTTATCACCTTTCACAGAGTAATAATTTTATATCTTAAATTGAAATTATTTTTTCTTTTTTTTTTCGTTTTTTTTTCTCTCTTTCATCGACATCCACATAATATTTAAACTATATAATTATAAAAGTTCGTTAAGCATTTGCTTGTACTTTCTATCGCGAAGTCAAGAATTATTTCCGCTTTAAAGTGCCCATTAGGGCTTACAGCAATGTCTTAGTCCTTAGTCTTAGTCCAAAGATGACCTTGGGACTTGAGGTGAAATCATTACAAAAAAAAAATCTCTAATTGTCATTACGAAATAAAATTACGGGTAAATAGTACGGCCACCTGAATATCGCTTTCGTCGTGCCAACAACAACGAAACACAAATTGAAAAAATCAAATACAAAATAAACGAGTATTTTGAATGAGAGGTCCCACGTTGATTCGCCTCGTTGATACTCTCTTTCATCCCTTAATTCCCTTAATTTTCAGGGCATCATCCTATCTTCGTTCTATTGGGGATACGTCGTGACGCAATTGCCAGGGGCATTAATCGCCGAGAAGTTCGGCGGTAAGCACACCCTGGGTTTCGGCATATTGTCGACGGCCGTGCTGACCTTCGCAATCCCGGTCGCCGTGGAATGGGGCGGCTCGACCGTCCTCATAATCCTGCGTGTTCTAATGGGTTTCGGCGAGGGTGTAACTCTACCGGCGCTCAACGTCATGCTCGCCCAGTGGACGCCCCCCGACGAAAGATCGAAGACTGGTTCGTTCGTGTACGTGGGCGCACCGCTGGGTACGGTCTTCGCGACCGCTCTGTCCGGCTTGATTCTCAACCACACCGAGTGGCCGATGGTCTTCTACTTCTTCGGTGGTATGGGTCTCGTCTGGTACTTGGTCTGGATTGTCGTCTGCTACAACACGCCACGCGAGCATCCTTTCATAACGGAGCAGGAGGCCAAGTATTTGGACCAGCAGCTGAGCGAGCACGCCCACGAGAAACCGGCACCGGTGCCTTGGAGGCACCTGCTTACGTCAATGCCACTCTGGGCCCTCATACTCGTGCAAGTCGGTCACGACTGGGGCTTCTATACCGTCGCCACCGACTTGCCCAAGTACATGAGCAGTGTCCTGCACTTCTCCGTCGAGAAAAATGGTTATCTGTCGTCACTGCCTTATGTCGGCATGTGGCTGTGTTGCGTGTGCATGTCGTGGGTCGCCGACTGGCTCATCAGCAATAAGCGCATGTCGATCACAATGGTGCGGAAGCTCGGGACGACCATAGCCTCGGTACTCCCGGGCCTCTTCATCGTCTCGGCTGCCTACGCCGGATGCGACAGGGTATTAGGCGTCAGCTTGTTCACGCTCGGCGTTACTTTCCTCGGTACGGGCATTCCAAGTCTCAAGGTCAACGCGCTTGATCTCAGTCCGAATTATGCCGGGACGGTAATGGCCATAAGTAATGGAGCGGCTGCGTGCACCGGGATATTGACGCCGTACGTGGTCGGTGTACTTACACCCGAGCAAACTCTTAGCCAGTGGCGTCTCGTTTTCTGGATCATTTTTATCATACTTATGATCAGTAATGTTTTTTACTTGATATTCGCAAGCGGTGACATTGCGACGTGGAATGATCCGGTTCTCATGAAGAAAAATAAGGAAGAGAAAAGGAGAGCTAAAATGAAAGCTAGTGAAGTGTAAAGAGTTTTTGCGCACAATATTTCTCGTATTATAGACAACCACGACGATGAATTTTTCTTCTTCTTTTTCTTCTTCTTCTTCTTCTTCTTCTTCTTCTTCTTCTTCTTCTTCTTTAGGTTAACGTTCGACATTAAATTTCACGCACAGATTACCCAATTTTATATTTATTTTGTTTGTTTTTTTATTTATTTTTTTTTCGTTTTTTTCTCTTTTTTTTTTTTTTTTTTTAATTTAGATTACGTTTAAAATTCATATATATAACTGTAATATTAGAATAATTAATGTCTATCAGTCGTATTTTAAGTTTTTACTGAAAAATGAAGTATTACTACTATTTGTCATGAGTACGTGAGAAAACATTTTTTTAATATTTGTATATTAAATTTTGTTTTATAGTTTTATGCGTAGACTTGAAAAAAAAGTACTACGTATTTGCTCTCGTTAATATTTAAATAATTACCTGATAATCATGTAATCAAATGAGCTGTGGTGTTGTAATCATCAAATTAGATTTACGTGTAAAAAAATTGTTTCATAATTACATAAAGTATTATTATAAGTTTATATAATATATGTATGTATGTATATATATATATATATATATATATATATATATATATGGCTCTTATGATAATTGTAGCTTTTATTATTTTTTGTTTACAAAGCAAAAATGAAAATGTATATCGGAAAAGATAATTTATTAATGAAATTATAAGATTAGTATTACCTCAATTTCCATTTTTGTATTTTCTCTTGTCATTAAAAAAAAAGTAGCCTTTAAAAATTAGAATTCAAAATTAAAATTAGAATAAGCGTAAATATAAATATTATAGATACACTTTTTTAAATGAATTTCAATGAATTAAATATTATGAAAAACTTACAATCCAATACAAAGTCGACCAAGAATTTAAAAATACCGAATTTTCAATATATTATCGGTAATAATCGAAATGAATTAATACAATGGTTTAAACTGTTTTTCATATGCACTAAAACTACATATGTGTGTGCGTGTACCTGTGCATATAACATTATAAGTTTTATTATTATTAATTTTTGCATGAAAATTTATTGATATAAATAAAGTCTGCCGATTTCAAATTGATATCATAGGTATTTACAATGATGATAGGAATTTTTATGCTAAAATTTTTATATAAAACTATTAATTATGAGCAAATATAAAAATTTTTAGAAATATATTGCTCTACTGTTAATCTTTCAATACTGTGTAATAGAAATTATCCTCTTAATAATAGTATCAATAAATTTATACGATACTTTGATTGTAATATGTTATGAATTATAATTATATCAATAATACAACTTTCATAAGCATTCCTTTTATTTTGTTTATTAAATAATTCTTTTTACCTGATTAAAGACATGATAAAAACATTGAATACAAAAATATTTTCCAAAATTTCAAGCATAGTAAGGTTAAAGTATTAAAAATTACGTAACATAATCATTAATCTTCTTTATATATATATATATATATATTTTTTTTTTTATTAATTGTTAATATTCGTATGAATTAATTTAAAAACGGACATCAGTAATATTATTTGTTTCAAGGTATTATTCAATATTATAATATATTTGTATATATATATATATATATATATATATATATATATATATTCTTTTAAATAATTATTATCATCATAATATTTGTTATAAATTATATCGTTAAGTTTAGTATTTAGATAAAATTTACAATTTCATTTAGCCCACAATATTTTATTCAATTTATTCATACATATTGATAATTGTTTTGATTGTCTTATCAATGTTATCTATTAAAAAATTTTTTAATTTAAATTTATTATATAGACGCAGTTGTAAAGTACTTTTTATGACTTTATTGTATTTTCAATACGTTTGATGGATTGTAATTCTAAGGTTTATGCTGAAATCTGCAATATAATAAAATGCACGTAATTTTTGCAAGATAAAAAATTGAATTTTGAGATTTTCAAAATTATCCTACAATTTCATGTTTAATTGTCATTTAGAGGGACGGACCTTTTACAGAAATTATTGTGCACTATTGCTGTCTGTATATTATAACGATGATGAAATCATATTATGTTAAATTTTGTAAGTGAACTAGCAGCTGTATTAGAATATTTTTCAATAAATTTAATTAATTTAACAAGTTATAATCAATAATACATAATTCACATCCTCATTATTATTAAATCAGATTATTAAGGTTCCTTTAACTATTAAATTTTTTTTTTTATAAAAATTGATATTTGAACATTTATTTATCAATCTATCAGAAGTTTGATAAGTTCAACAAATTTATTAGTATTATTTACTAGTATTGTATTGGGTGCGAAAAAATCTCGTTATCACGAGGTGCATTATATGGTTGTTTGCGTAAATTACACAAATGTATTTTATAGTAAAAAGCATAAATCTATCATTAATTAAGATATGATATTACTGAAAATATCTGTGTAAATGAAAAATCTTATCATCCATCAAACACAATCCGTTAGATGATTATCAGTTTAGGAAGATCGTTGCATTTGGGCGTAAGTACATCTAGTTACGCCTTGAGTGATGCTTACGTATAGTACATAAGCGAGTTAATAATATTCTGAATTACCTCATTTATGTACAAATTAGTGATAGAAATGCCATCTTACATTAACAAGTATCGTATGTTAACATTAAATACTTATATAAAAAAGAATAAGAATTTTAAAATCGTTATTCTTTATTATTGTGAAAGTGCTGTTTAATATTTGCGAATTTTCAGTCTCTTCAATACCTAAACGATGGATTATAGCTACTATGGGATTTTTTGCATTTTTCAATGCTTATGGGTTGCGTACATGTCTTTCAATTGCAATTACAAAAATGGCCGTACCACTTAACATCACTGACGAATCAGCTGACGAAACATGTCCTGATTACAGCGAACATGTTATGAAGAATACTACTGTAGTTTCTGCTGGGGGAGTCTTCCAATGGAGCGAATATACTCAGGTATAACAGTCTGCTTAATTATTATAAAGAGTACTATTCGTAAAAAAAAAAAAAAAAAAAAAAAAGATTCGCAGATCACACGTGCTTTATTAGAAACAATAATAAAATGTTTCTAAAATTTATGCAGTACTTCATTTGTTTCCACAATCTTTATTAAGACTAGTATTCTTTATATTCAAATATTTCAATTACTTTTTATTTTACATAATATATAATTTATTATATAATATGTATGATATTAATCTATATTGATTTATAGTATTTATAAAATTACAAGAAATTTCAATTTCAAGGTAATGGGAATATTTTTTATCAAAATTTTATTTAAAATTTATAAACAATGTATTGGTTAATAAATTAAAAATATAAAATATTATTATCAATATAACGATTATGGCATTTTATACCATAGAAATTGTATATACTGTGCAATATATCTCATTTATAATTTGGATATTATGAAAAATTCCATTTACTCTCAAATAATAACAATAAACTTTTAACTGTTCGGTGCAATAGCAATAAGGATTTTCTAGTAGAAGTATTTAGTAGTGAAGAGATTTTTAAAGAAAATTTTTCAGAGATTTTCGTCATATTCATTAACCAATATCATAATCAATATTATAATTAAAAGCAATACATTGCATATGTACATATTATCGATCATAAGAAATTAAACATTTTTATAAGATATAGTCGCACATGAATGTAAGATCATAAATTATCTATATGAATTAAAACGTTTTATTTATTTATATTTATTATCTTCTTTAGTCCAATAATGTTTTATTTTAGTATTTTCATTCCTTTGATTTACGTCTAATTTATATATAATATATGTTTTATGATAGTGAACAAAGGGGGACGGGGGGGGGGGGAGATATATTGATAGGAATGAGATTTATAAAAGAATATAAGAGAAATAATATTTACAAATAGAGACAAATAGAATTGAGGCTGCATCATTACAAAAATTAAGATTTAATGAACGACTCATAAATTTTTACGTTATCTTTATGTTTATTTTTTATATCTATTTTAAGTAAAGACATTGAATCTTCAAATAGGGCTTACAATGATTGAGCTGTTGATATTCCGTTTCTATAAAATTGTTTTATCTTTTATTTTTATATAACTACTATATTTGTACACTAATCTTAGTATGAAATTAGTTATCCACGCTTCATATATATACATATATATATATATATATATATATATATATATATATATCAATATTTACTCGAAGTTTCATTGAAAATTTTGTTTAATAAACGTTCTTTGTTAAAAAATACAAGAGAAAACTTTATTACAGACATTTATGTTGCAAAATTAATTGTTATTGGAATGATACATTTAATTATTAGTACAATTTTTTCATTAATCTCAATAACATTAATATAGCATTAAAGAATCATTGAAGTAACGATAGAAACTTTTTTATATTTGTTATTAAGACGATATTTATGGTGATAATAAGTATACAAATTATCAATAAAATCAATTTAAAATATTAACGATAGAGCTTTATATGCAAATATTCTTATTTACTTTTATTTTTTCAATTCAACAAAGTTAAATAATTATTTTTATATTTATGCCTACTAATCTTTGGTAAATGTGAAAGATGTAAAATAATTTCGTTGATGATAGTCAGTCCATTTCCTAAATATATGCAGCATATAGAAATATTATAATAATGTATTTAAGATTTTATGCGCTTCGTTTTCATACTTTTTTTTTTAACTAGATTTAAATTAAATTAATAATAAATTATAAATATTCAATATATGCGTAAAGAAATACAAAAAGGAGTGAAATCGAAACATAGAAGAGAGTGGGAGAGAGAGAGAGAGATAGAGAGAGAGAGAGAGAGAGAGAGAGAGAGAGAGAGAGAGGAAATGAATTCCAATATGAAAAATATATAGTCCAACATGAAAACGCTGTCTCTAATGTAATTCATTTTTATATTAAACAAGTTGGAAAATTAATAAACGTGCACTTAATTTTTTTCTGAAACTTTTCGAGAGAGAATGAATATTAATTTTAACTTATTTAAAATTGAATATTTATTAAAATTCTTATATTTTATAAATTAAATATGCATTTGAACTTATAATGTACTTCAG